AAAAAAAAAAAAAAAAAAAAAAAAAAAAAAAAAAAAAACTGACAACAAGCCAACCATGCGAACGGATGACAAGTGCAACTACGCTCGGTGCGTAAATTACACAAAGTAGCGCCACTACAATTATATATATATGGATGTACATATGCATGTATATGTATATATATATATATGTATGTATATGTATGTTTTTGTTTGTGTTGATCCATATTTTGTTCCTCCCACCACGTATGCCTCCCCCCCCGCAACATGAGCACTAGCAACTTTGACATGTCCGTTGGGGACACACTCAGTATCTCCGAGACTTACAAACACCTGACGGACGATGTGCATATGGACGACGTGGACACCGACATGGAGCACAAGTACATTAAGAACTACGAGGACTCGCATACAAAAAGGATGATTTTCCTCTTGTTCGGCTTCCTCACACTGTGGTAAGTACCATGCCCTCACAATGGCAGCTGCCTAGTTAGCAGCTGCCTAGTTAGCAGCGGTTGAGATGGCAGCGGTTGAGCTAGCAGCGGTTGAGATGGCAGCGGTTGAGCTAGCAGCGGTCGAGGTGGTGACAGTGGCCGAGTTAGCAGTTGCCGCCGCTAAAAACTAAATGCAAACCGCCTAACCCCCCCCGCCCCTGCAGCGGACTGAGGTCTCTACTCGTGAGCAATTTGGCCTTCGCGCCCCCCCGAGTGCAGGGATACGAGGTGAAGGACAACCGATTCCTCTACAAGAACCCGTTCAGTGCGTACGACATAAATCAACTCCTGGAACTAAACAACGTAGGTGTAGAGTACAATAAACTAGTTCAGGGGAAGGACGAAGTGGCATCCGTCCTCGTATACAGAAAGCCACTCGACCTGAATAAACAAATCATTTTATACTCACATGGAAATAATACAGACATAGGATACTCATTTCCAGCCTACTTGAATTTATTATTTAAAACGGACGCAAATATTATTACGTACGACTACAGCGGATATGGCTACAGCAATAAAAAGCCAACTGAAGGGAATATGTATAAGAATATAAAAATGGTGTATAATTTTTTAACGGAGACTCTGGGTGTGAATCCTGGAAATATCATTTTGTATGGTTATAGCATAGGGACCTGTGCCTGTAGCTACATGATTAGTTTGAAGGACGTAAAGGTGGGGGGATGTATCTTGCAGTCCCCTTTGGCTAGTGGAATGAAACTTGTATTTCCCGCTCAGAAGGGGTGCCTCCCCTGTTTTGATGTGTTTAAGAATTATAAAAATTTACAAAAGGCGTCGCTTGTCCCTGTGTATATCATGCATGGAAAAAAGGACATGGACATTCCGTACTACCATTCAGTTATTTTACTCAACCAACTGCGAAAGAACTTTGAAAAGAAACGCAAGAAAATGAAAACAGTGGGTGACTCTCCTCACAAGAGCGTCGACATCCATTCGCTCATCACGTTCTGGGGCGTTGCCAACTCGGACCACAACAATATTGAGTTGGCCAACACGGACAACTTCTACCGCCGCCTGCGCGCCTTCCTCTCGTTTTGCAAGGACTACAACATGGAGGAGGAGGGGGAGGACGTGTAGGTGTAGGCGATTCGTGCGTCTTTTACACCGTTCATGCGTCGCACACGGGTCATGCATCTTTTACACCGTTCATGCGTCGTACACCACTCATGCATCATTTACACCGTTTATGCCTCTTTTACACGGTTGAAACGGCTTGCGCGGCGAAAGCCTGTCTATGGCTTCCCCCACCCCTCTCCCACAGACTTTGTGGGCCAATTTTGTTTTTAGTGTGTTTTTCCATCAACAACACACGGACGGGGGAAGAGAGAGAGGCCTTTTATTGATTTGTCCATTCGTGCCTTCTTCTATGTTTCCTTTTTTTTTTTTTCCCTGCGCCCTGCTTCGCACGACCTAAACACAGGTCGTACCGGCTGCGTCTGCACGTATGCACGCCTGCACGTATGCACGCCTGCACGTGTGCTCATTCGTTGTTTCGTGCGAGAAGTGACACGCGTTCCTGTTGTGTCTTGGATTATTCGTCGTCTGCCCCTCGTCGTGGACTTTTTTTTAACCCCGATTCGCTTATCCGTTTATGCGTGTATTTGTGAATTCACCTGATGATGACACGTTTGTGTCTTTTATTTATTTTGTTTTTATTTTGTTTTTATTTTGTTTTATTTTGTTTTTATTTTGTTTTATTTTGTTTTATTTTGTTTTATTTTGTTTTATTTT